ACTTTTCAATCTAAACATAAAAGGACGTTTGAACTTTTTAAAACTACCTCTTTACTCCAGTTGTTTGTACCTTTAGGCTATATAAATATTTTATTCCTTGTTGTGCAAAAACTGTTGTTTCTCATGTTTGTTCTTATTCTATCTTTGTTGATTACTAAAAATTTGATGTGAGAGGAAATTGTTAATTGCATCACGCAGCCTAATTTACTCAACAATTATTGATCCATATAATTTGTTCACTGTTGAAACTTGACTAATGCATGGAATAATAATGCAACACAAAAGGTACTTAGAACAAAATGTATTGAAACAAGAAAGTGTACACAATATTTACATATAGTCTTTTGTATATTCCTGGTAAGACCGTTCCTGGAGAATGTGTTGACTGAGTCGCAGTCGGGCAGTGTCTCTGGTTGAATCTCTTGATTCCTCCCTCTCTTCCCGGTACCAACCATATTTATATGGTCGGTACTCCACTATGCAAATTAGGTGCATCCTACCACAACAATCACTTAACACAACCTCCACAGAAATATCAACCGTTCCTTTGTCTCAACTGATATTTTCCAATTTTGGGCAATTGTCCAACCACTTAGTGGCAGTGAGAGGATTAATCCACCCATTCAACTCTAACTTGCCTTCTCTGGCATCTCTGACTTCCACTCATAGCTTCTACCTCCTCTCCTTCCTCCAACTTCCTTAGAAATAACCTATTACTACTCTCTTTGGGGTGTCACTTGATACGGTTGACTAATCCTTTTGTAGGGACTTTAACAAGTGAGGCCTGACCTGTAACTAACAGCTAACCATCTCAAGTACTTTAAATTTTTTAGTGAAATCAATTAATGAAAAGGATCGCCCCTTGAAAAAAATTATTATCATCCAGTTTCTACTGGACACCGCCAAAAGCATCAAGTAATGGCTGTAAGGATTTATTTTATGGAGAAATCAAATCTCAAAAAAAAAAAAAAAAAATATTTAATTCTTTTTTCTTTCAGGCCACGAACGACGCTTCCTCTAATCATTATCTCCAAGCGAAAAATCAGCGTCCTGTTTTAAGCCTGAAAGAAACAGTTGTTTTTCATCAATCTCGACAAGTGGATTTAAGTGTGTCCAGCCTGGAACACTCCAGTCAAGATTTAAATGTTATCTCAACCTGGGATAGGTGCTTTCTAAGTTAGCCCATTGGCCCATAGTCGATAACGTCACATGTAAATCATTCATTTTTTTTTTCAAACAGTCACTCAATTCAAGAATCGTAAAATAAAAACTGCAATAAAACAATGACCTTATTTAATTAGATAATCTTTTCATTGTTTTTATAAATAATATATATTAAGGATATTATAGTCGGAAGAAAAAATATTTCAATAAATAATGAATTTTTACAAGAATTGTTTTCATTTTTTATTATAATAATCTATAAAGTTTCAAAAATCTTTTCAAAATTTTCACCTCGTTAGGTTATTAAGGTAAATTCCGAATATGGTTTGCTGATCCTTGAGTTAGTGTTTTGTAGTGAAAGAGATAATCAACTACCTCGATAAAAGAGTTTGTGTTTTGTGTGTGATCTGCCGAAGAAAAATTACCAAAAAGTAGTTAGCAAAAATCTACTTTAAGGACCAGAATCTGTGCTAATGTTCTTCCCTTCCTTGAATGGCGTGACCAATCGGAAAGATCTCTCGGTGAACAAAAGCCGTTGTTTTTCACTTATGAGGCATTAGATTTTCTGAGCTTGGTGGATGAACACGCGGTTTTGCTGGTGAGAAGTGAAGATTGGATGTGTGACCCTATTTTGTCGTTTCTACGTTGCCTGTTGGACTGTTACGACGGACTATCGTCTGAACTGTGATTTGGCTACAAGTGTTGCGGTCGAGATACAGAAGAAATCTATTGCAGATGTTTATTGCTACTATAAGTTGACAGTTTTTTCTTCTTTTTCTTTTCCTTGCAACTACATGTTTTTTTTTTTTTTTTTTTTTTGCTTTTTTTGCCCTCTAAAATACGAAGTGTCATGTGACAACTCTACAAGAGCAGGAAAATAAAGCCAGTCGTACCAGTTCTTTTGCCTCATTCAACCTGGATGGACATTTCCCTTAGAATTCAGGGTGAGAGATAGCGGCTCTATAGAGTTATCTCTGGTTAAACGGTTGCCTTCCTTTGCCAGCATTTCCAATTTATTATTCCCAGTGTATGATTACTTAACTGACAACGAGGACAAATTAGCAGAAAGTATTAAAAAATTGTATATAAATGTTGTGTTACAAGGAATCGTCTATTCATACGTTTCTATTTCAAAGATAATTCAGACGACCGTTTCAAATGATGCGACTTAAGAAATGTTGAGTGGAATTGTAGTGAACAAAACAAGATCTAGATTTAAAATTCAAATGCTAAACACTGACTCATTGATTTTGTTAGAAATTAAAAAAGACTCGAATTTACAAACTTTGATTAACACACACGCAAAATCGAATCCAAAACTCGTAAAATTTCACACCTTGATGCGAAATGTTTTTCGGCCAATAGAAAACTAGGAAACATAAAAAAAAAAAAATTTAAATAATCTTCAATTCTCAGAAACAAATTCTTTCACGGACCTTTTCGCCTGCCGACGCAAAAATTTGTTCATTGTCCAATGAAAAGGCCTGAATCATATCCAGGAGTGAATTCCCAAATTAGTTTTTCAAGCCCCAAAACAAAAAAAAAACAAAAAAAACAGGCAAGTTCGCTTGTCACCAGATAGGAGGAGACGAACATATTAACACGTCCCTTGATAACGTCAAGCGAGCGTTATTATTATCTCTACCCTTCTCTCTCACCTCTTTTATACTTGATAAACTAAAGGAACATTTTAAGACAGAGCGCTTACTTCAAAGACATTCCTACCCTTCGATAACGCTCATGCATACATACATCCACACATACGTTCCTACCTACGTACATATACTCATTCTTGCAAGGACTACTATGAACATTTTGACGACCTTGCATCAATCAAAATACATTAATTTTATAAAGACCTTAATTGATTTATATGCATATAAATTGGTTGTTCACTTTATAATTTGATTTTGTTTTATACCCCTCTTATGGTGGGTTATTTAACTAACAAGGCCAAATCAAACTAACCTGTTTCCACACTCATACACTTCACTATAACTGATAACCCACTATAGAATATTTATTTACCACTTCGCCAATCATTACACAAGGATACCAAATGGCGCTACCTTCTGAAGCCCCATGCTACTAAATTTTACATTTCACTACTTAAAACTTTTGGGCTATTTTATAAATAAGCCGAGCTGACTTGGGTACATGATAAGAAGAAATTAAATCAACTTTATCCAAATAAAACAGTGTTTTGTTTTGTTTTTTAATTTAATCGTTTCAACCCAGGCAAGGCGACAATGCCTCTAAGACGCAGGGGTTTACAGAGAGTGACAGAGCATGAGAAGTCTTTAGTAAGTGTTGTGGTACGATCCACCTAATTTACATAGTGGAGTACCGACCATATAAATATGGGTTGGTACCGGGAAGACGAGGGAAGAAGTAAGAAGAGATCCAATCGAGAGACTCTGCCCGACTGCGATTAAGTCAACCCATTCTACAGGAACAGTCTTCCCAAGAATATACCAAAACTAACTGTAAATATTGTGTACCTTTTCCTTGTTTCAATACATTTTGTTTACGTACATTTTGTGTTGTATTATTATTATTCCATGCTTATCCAAGCTTCAACAGTAAGAAGTGAAGAAAATGACAATAAAAGAACAGGATTTAGGAAGACAGAAAGTGGCGATTGTCGTTGCATTTAAAGTTTTGAAGATTGTAGATGACAAGGAAACAAGAAATCAGAACGGAGTTCCACAGTCGAGAAGTGCGAGATTATAACAGGACTGATGATTGCATCTAGCTAGTTAAACGGGGAGACCTACTGCCAATCTAGTAGCATGCTTAAATTAAGGCAGTCGAGGCACTAAGGAGAAGAGCTCATCAGAAAGTATTTGTAGAAATAACAGAGGGAAACCACGTCACTTCGATAGGAAAATGACTGAAGTCGAGATGACAGGTCAAGATCGAGAACATTACAATTCATTTTATTTAAATTGCAATTTACGATAATATTATTTCGATGTCAAGAAAAATATGGAATTTAATTAAAATTAAAACGTTTATTAAGACGTTTAACCAGTATATCTTTCTATCGGAAACATTTTCCTGTTAGAGGAAGTTTTGAAGATAATTTCTGAAAGAAAACGCGAACTTAAGAAATGTTATTAAGCGTCTCTGTAAAGATGAAGGAAAAGTTACTCTGCTGGTGATTTAGAGAGTGAGAGATATGTATAAGCCCTGTACGGCTACTGCACAGAGCGCTAATTTTAGCGTCCTATCCTGGCCTCGACCTGCAGTGAAAGCGCGCTAACCTCTTCAGATTCACAGTGCACATGCCCAAAAGCTGAAAAGGGGTTGTTGCTGAGAGTATTATCGACATATGTGACTAGCGAAACGATTTTAACCCCTGCTTCAATATCAACCAGAAAAAAAACTTACTATTTGATTAATCGAATCGAATCGTGATATCATAGCTTATTCAATAATTCTTCTAGAGGAGTTAAGTTGAATAAATTTAACTATTTTAACGTTTTAAAAATTGAGCTGACGAAAAAAAAAAAAACAAGATTTTTAACCAAAATCTCGAACGTTCTAAAACGGATGAAAAAATAAAATTTAATAATAAAAATGTCTCTAGTGGTAAACACAGAGAACCGGATGTTAACTCTAAGACGTTCAAAGAGATAATGTCAAAAACTGGTTTGTGCGCATGTGGCTCCTCGCATTTGTTCCGGTTAAAAATGAATAAATGAGAAATTCTATTAAATAAAAAGTCTTAGCCAGTCAAAAAAATTCGCGCCCAAATAATAAATGATTTCGGCCGACCCTTTTTGATACCCCAAAACAAGTATAAAGAGAGCTCTTCTTCAATCAAAATTCAGAGGGGAAAACAGACTCCAAAGAGAACAGACCACATCAAAGGAATCACCAGCGACCGCTTACCTCTCTCACCTCAGCGTCCTCTTACCTCTCTCACTTCCTGTGCCCTCTTACTTCTCTCACCCACTGCATCTCTTACCTCTCTCATCCCATGCGTCCTCTTACCTCTCTCACTTCCTGTGCCCTCTTACTTCTCTCACCCAGTGCATCGCTTACCTCTCTCACCCCCTGCGTCCTCTTACCTCTCTCACATTCTGCCCCCTCTTACTTCTCTCCCCCTGTGTCCTCTTACTTCTCTCACCTACTGCACCCCTTACCTCTCTCAACCCCTGTGTCCTCTTACTTCTCTCACCTACTGCATCTCTTGCCTCTCTCACCCCCTGCGTCCTCTTACCTCTCTCACTTTCTGTGCCCTCTTACTTCTCTCACCCACTGCATCGCTTACAACCTCTCACCCCTGACGTCCTCTTACCCTCTCACATTCTGCCCCTCTTACTTCTCTCCTCCTGTGTCCTCTTACTTCTCTCACCCACTGCACCCCTTACCTCTCTCAACCCCTGTGTCCTCCTAAAACTTCTCTCACCTACTGCATCTCTTGCCTCTCTCACCCCCCTGCGTCCCTCTTACCTCTCTCAATTTCTGTGCCCTCTTACTTCTCTCACCCACTGCATCTCTTACCTCTCACCCCTGCGTCCTCTTACCTCTCTCACATTCTGCCCCCTCTTACTTCTCTCTCCTGTGTCCTCTTGCTTCTCTCACCTACTGCACTTTACCTCTCTCAACCCCTGTGTCCTCTTACTTTTTCTCACCCACTGCATCTCTAGCCTCTCTCACCCCCCTGCGTCCTCTTACCTCTCTCACCCCCTACGTCCTCTTACCTCTCTCACCCCCTGTCCTCTTACCTCTCTCACCCCCTGCGTCCTCTTACCTCTCTCACTTCCTTCCTCCTCTTACCTCTCTCAGCTCCTATACCCTCTCACTTCTCTCATCCCCTGAACCCTCTCACCTCTCTCACATTCTCACACATCAACCCAAAGAAGATCTTACATCAAAAAAGACTTAAGTACTTTTCACAAATTTTTATATTATCTTAAACTTAATTCTTTTAACTCGTCTCTTTTATTGGCCATGACTTTTTTTATATATATATATATATATATATATATATATATATATATATATATATATATATATATATCCCCCAAAGAGCATTTACCATTGACTTTAACAATTTGTATTTCGAAATATAAAACTTTTGTTGTTTATAATACTTGATTCATTTTATTTCATATTTATTCTATTATGTCGGTTAATCTATTCAAAGACTAAACCTCTGGCCGTTCGTCTTAATAATAATAATAATAATAATGACAATAATAATAATAATAATGATGATAATAATAATGATAATAATGATGATAATAATGGTAATAATAATAATGATAATAATAATGATGATGATAATAATAATAATAATGATAATGATGATAATAATAATAATGATAATAATGGTAATAATAATAATGATAATAATAATGATGATAATAATAATGATAATAATGATAATAATAATAATGGCAATAATGATGATAATAATAATGATAATAATAATAATGATATAATAATAATAATAATAATAATAATAATAATAATGACAATAATGTTAATAATAATAATAATAATAATAATAATAATGATAATAATAATAATGATAATAATAATAATGATAATAATGATAATAATAATAATGATAATAATGGTAATAATAATGATAATAATAATAATGACAATAATGGTAATGATAATAATGATGATAATAATAATAATGATAATAATAATAATAATGATAATAATAATAATGACAATAATGATAATAATAATAATGATAATAATGATGATAATAATAATGATAATAATAATAATGATAATAATGGTAATGATAATAATAATAATAATAATAATGATTTTGAAGATAAAACCTTAGTAAATCAGTGCCGGTATCTACTTTTAAGCATTAGTAAGAAATACAAAGGGTTTCTTGAATATGTTGTCAATGTATTTAAACTTATGCAATTATTTGAGTCGATGGATTTGTGGCTTAAGCAGGAATCTGCAGGAGAAATTTTTTCAGGCTTATCATCGATGTGTATTCTTTTCACGTCTACTGAAAAAATATAAATAACCTTTTGTTCACTAAGCAGTGTTGAGAGGCTCCTTGAGAATATAGTAATTGTCCGAGTTGAAAATTAGTTGTTGGGCAATTATTCTTTCGAGACTACCCTGACCGAAGTTGACAAGAATGAAGGAATGTTAAAATGGAAGTCACTTAACTTGACTGTACAGGAGTAACAAGAAAAGTGACTGTGTATAAATTACCTAAATGCTCTTTATATGGAGAAAGCAACACTGTAGCACAAGGAAAAAAGTAAAAGATACAGACAGACACCATTTTGGGCGATTGAAGGCGTATTGGGATGACCAAAGATGCCTTCCAAAAGCTAAGCAGAGTATTAAGAGACAGAAAAATTTCGTTGAAAACAAACAAAAGATTACTAAACTGTTATGTGATATCTGATCCCCCCCCCCACCTGTATGGCAACAAATGCTCGACAATCTCCTCAAAGATTAAGAAGAGACACAAAGCAACAACAAAAATGTGTTTCTACAGAAGGATGCTAAGGATACCATTGTCCGAGCATGTGAGCAATGGCAAGGTTTTAGAGAAAATGAAAACAAAAAAGAAAACTTGTACTTAACATCAGGAAGAGGCAGTTGAAATTTCTAGGGAATGTACTAAGGAAGGAAGGCTTGGAAAATATGATACTCACAGGACAGATTGAAGGAAAGAGAGACAGAGGAAAGCAGCACATAAAGTACCGGATGGGCTTCAGCAAATGGATCAGAGAACAGGTTTTGGGAGAAATAACAAAAAACAAAACTTATTTAGAGCTACAAGGAACAAGAAACTGTGGAGAGCCACGATCGCCGACATCCTGAAGAAACAAGGCACAGAAAAGAATACATCCCATTATTTTTTATTTCATTTTATTTTCTTCTGACGCAAGACAATAAAATCGCTTAAAGCAGTTAAAAGAATCAATAGAAATCTATAATAATAAAGTGCAGTGTATGTGTGTCCGCCTGTCCGTCCGTTTTTCGATATCAGTGAAATGTTGTTTTTTTTTTATTTGTTTTCTTTTTATTTGTTTTCTTTTTCGTGACGTATTTGAAATATTACATAGTTAGAGTTCCCTAATGTCTTTTAAGAGTGACTTTACGTGAAGGAATAATAAAGAATGGTGATTTTAAAAGAAAAGAAAAATTGCGCGCAAAATAAATGTAGACAAACCACGGAGATTGGTTGCGTATAGGAAGAAAGATTATGCCGAATTAAGGTGTAGAATAAGGATAAAATAATTTTATTATTTCTAAATTCTTCTAACTTTTACGTACATCAGACAATGATGATAAACGACCGAAGGCTCAAAAGCACTCTGCAGGAGCTAACCTAAAGTACACCCGAAGGGCGGTTTCTAGTCTAGTAATTGAATAATAACTATCTCTTACAATGTATATTTTTTCCCGGTTGCCTGTGTGTTTGTTTTGTGCGTGCTCGGCAGTGAGAGTGGAATGGACAAAACCCAAGACTCGAAATAACTGCTCAACAACTTTTATTTCCAGTTGAAAGAGAATGCAAAATAGTAGTATTTTGTGGAAGAAAAAATGGGATTTCCCAGCTAGCAAAGTTCTTGAGTAGATGTCGTATATAGAGAGATTTCTCCGCTAGTTCCCACGGGAGGAACGAAAAATGTGAGTGTGATACTGCTAGGACTGGTACGAGTCTTCTACAGCAAGAGTTGTGTGTAGTTTCCCTTTATGTGGGCGTGGGACGCCATTCGTGGCGAAATTGTGACGAGTTTTGGAAAGACGTTCTTCGATCGGTCGTCGTTCACTGCACCTGTGATGACATCCAAGGTTGAGTGTATTTGCGTATACACCCAACTCGCTATGTGCACAGGTTTGTCTTCTCGGCTTTGATCGCTTTCAATAAAAAAAAAAAAATGAAGACAATTGTTTATCAAGACTCTCTGTTTGGGAAGTAGTAAGACGACGATTTCTCACTTGACCGTGGGATCTTTCCTTCAGCTTCGAGAGATGGGCTGCTATCTTACTAAACTTCACTGGTCTCGGCGACTCCTGATTCCTCACTACCGGTCCTTCTGCCACTGGCTGCTGGTCAGTTACAACTCCTCTGGTCACCTAATTACTTCTCTTATGGCTGAACCCAATTTTCCTGTACTTCCTGCCTATATCTGCTTATATGGATAATCTTGGGGTCCCACTCCTCCATCCACTTGTCCTACGGAAGATTTGAGACCACCCCACTTTAAACTCGGCCTTGTGCCACATCTTGCTGCGTGAGGCAGCGAGTAAATAATAATTTTTTTCTTCTCACTTATAATCCAGATTCCCAACCTCCCCAGTTTGTTTTTGGTCCCCTTTTTCATCTCGGCTGTGTCAGACTTTGTTTTATTCCCCCCCCCCCACTCCGTTGTTTATTTTTCCTTCCCCACGCCATTAACGAGTGTACTGCTTGATTCTGTCTATCGGCAGAATACAGCAGCCACTCTGATTATTTTGAGAAGGGGACAGGTCTTACTAACAACTGTTTTGTTTTAGTTTGTTTTAATTTTTTGTTAGTTTACGGGGTTCATTACCCCCCCCCTCCTCTCATTTCATGTTTCATGAAATTTTAATATATTTTTGTATTTAAACATTTTTACATTATGGGGTGTTTTTGTAGGTTCCCCCTCTAAATATGTGGTATTGTGGTGTATATATAAGTGAACATTGAAGTCTGGTGGCCTGACGATTGCGTCTAGCATGAAACAGCCTGTCGCCTCTGCGTGTTGACTTCAATGTTCACTTTTATATTTATATTTACATACGCTTTATCTCTGATATTGAGCACTTTATCCCATAAATATAGCACATCTTAAAAAATATATATATATATATATATATATATATATATATATATATATATATATATATAAATTTAAATAAAAAAATTTAAACTGTCGAACAAACGTAGTCAGATAACCACTCAGTTTGGAGCAAGCTGAGTGAAGTTCAACATAGAGTAATATTTATGGTTGGGCATCTCATTATGCTAAAGTGGGATAGTCCATTTTAAGGACTGCGGATCATCAGACTTTACTATATTCCAAAGGTTGCAGTTTGCAGGATTTTTGTTTCAACTTTATTTTTTTGTCTTGGGGAGTTAAATTCTTACGCCTGATGATTGTCCAGAGTCCTTTAAAAGGGCTGTGTTAAAAGCGTCGACTGTTTGTTACTGGTGTATGGAACTATTGCACTAGGTCTTGGAACTTAAAGTGGTCGATTTTTTATTTAAATTATTTATTCTGGATTTACATTGTTGTGCCCTCTGGATTTTGGTCTTCCCTTTTGAAGGGGGTTCTGTTTATCGCTCTATACGAGCGTTCCGCCAGGATTATCTCACGATTTTGCTGCGGTTTCATAAACCTTATAGAGTGTTGGGTGGGATATATATATATATATATATATATATATATATATATATATATATATTGCGGTAACCTTTTTTATGTAATTTGCTTGAATGGAAGAGATCGAATGGCAGGCACTATTTCGCTGTATCACAGCTTCTCATCTGTGCGACTAGACATCCATGGAATGCATCTGAAAGCCAGGATTGAAACTCAACTCAGGGATTTGGTGTCAGTCAGAATTTCTAAACCACTAAGCTTTCTTCATTCGACAGAGTTAACAATTCAGCTAGAGCAAATCTAGCCTCACTTCCCAATATTGTTTTACGAATGTAAACAAATACCAATCTGCGTCCCCGAAGTGCTCCATTCATTTTACTGAAGAGCTTTGCATTCCGCGCAGGTCTGATTGGCAGTGAATACATTTGTTGTGAATGTCTGCTGGGTTAGACAGCATCATGCCAACAGTGCTCAACTGAAATAGGTTTTTTTTTCAAGAGCTAAATTATGTCATTCACAGACAGTATTGTTTCGCAACCCATTACAAAATATCACAGCTCCTCAGTGTGACTAGACATCCGAACGCCTCAGGCCAGGATTAGTATTGAATGGTGATGGATGAGTTCTTTTGATATACGAATAAATTGTATCGGATGGTTGGGTCGTGATCGTGATTAACTAGGAGTAGGATAGTTAGCGAAAACTAGCTTTTCCCCCCACGTCCCCTTCGGCCATATGCTAAAATTATTGTATTTTATACAGTAATAAATATATATTTTTCTTCTCACTTTTCAGCTAACATGTTAATCTCTCTGGAATGGACCCTGTATGGTGTGTTTCCCGGAGGTTTGGTAGTCTTTTTCTCTTTGGAGGAAACGCCACCAACAATACATACACACACATGAACGTACGTACGAACATTCTTGCTTTGGGGACTCACTTTTATGACCAACATCGGTGGAATTCACCATTGTTTTCTATATCCATTTGTTTACACACACACACAATGTTTTTTTGTTGGAAGAAAAGGGTTTGTTGTTTACTTTACATTATTTGGCTCACGTCCGATTTTTTATGTTGCATTGTTGTTTATTCGGTTCTTTTCCCCACATCAATGCAGGCTGCTTTAGCTGAAGTGAATAGCTGAATTTTTTTATTTAGGGCTTGTTTAGTTGTTCTTTATGACGATGGATTCAAGTGACATACCCGAGTCCGCGACTTTTCTTGATGGAATGAGGTTTTTGCCCCATATTCAGAAGGTGCTTAAGGCCATTTCAGGGAGACACATTTGTCTGGGATGTTTTTCATCATCAATTTCCCTTATCTGGCCTGTGTCTTTAGACGTATACGTGCCTGTCGTTTGATTGAATGTGATGTGGGCGATAACATGGCGGCTTCATTTCCAGTAGCTTGGGTTTCGAAGCCCGGCATACCCTCGAATTGGGCTTAATCCTGTTTTCCCCATGCTGGGCATTTTAGCCGGCGTGATTCAGTTCCTGAGGTTTGGTTGAAAGCCTGGTGGTTTGGTTTAACATTTGCAGTTGCAATAGGGGTACGGAATGTACCCTTTGTCTTAATTAGCTGATTCAAATTCATGAAATTTTTTTCAAGGGATTTAAGTGCCCCAGCTTTGGCCAGTAGATCAGCCTGGAGTGTGTCATTTGCTATTCCCGGATGATCAATTTGTTAGAATCAAAACGGCTCTGAGGCGGATTGACTTTTTTGGCTCATTTGGAGGCAAAAAATTGGGGATTTGATTTATGTAATTATCAGGATCAGTGGTAAAATCAGGGTGTGTGTTGATTAATGTCAAAATGATTTTTGGCATATTTGTCTTCAATTGGAACATTGCTGTGGTGTCATCTCGTATTTTGCTTTTGCTATTGAACAGACGTCAAGAGGGCTTCTCCCATTAATGGCCATAGCACGTCGATCCAGCATAACCGAAGCTTCTTAAGCAAACCGTCGAGCCTGGATGCCTGCTTCAATGAAGTACATAGATCCTGTTGGGTGAACAATCACGTAGGATAACCACTCAGTTAAGAATAGAGACAGAGCTATTTATGGTGCAATGGAGCATCTTGGATTGCTTGGGCTCTGATTGCGGATGGCGAGTGGAAGTATTACTATGGATAACGAGCATGATTTTCAGTTTGAAAATCGAGTTCAACCTGCTTTATTTTTGTCTGCCAGTGGACGGGTTACGTGCTTTTATTATTATTTACGCCCAAATATTAAAGGACTTGCGAAAGGTGATCCAGAATACACCTTTTCTCCTCCAGCAATGTGAGCTCTCTGGATTTTAATTAGTAGGACTTATATATATATATATATATATATAATATATATATATATATTGCGGTATTTTATGTTCAAAGGATTTCTGTTCACATTCGAAAATATTTTTGATTTGGTGTCAGTCAGAATTTTAAATAAGCTTTCTTCATTCGACAAAAGGCTGATTGTTTTTAAGAATGTAAACAAAAAAAGTGCTCCAAAACTGAAAATTCGCGCTGGCTGTTGTATGTCTTCTGAGAAATATATTTTTCAAGTCAAATTTTCCAAGACAGTATTGTTTCGCTATATTTCCTCATTATGACATCCGAACGCCTCAGGCCAAGATGGATGAGTTTTGATATACGAATAATTATCGGATGGTTTCGTGATCGTGATTAACTAGGAGTAGGATCCCCCATTTTCGTTTTCATGCTAAAATTATTGTATTTTTACAGTAATAAAATTTTTTTCTTCTCACTTTTTGTCGATTTGTTTTTTCTCTTTGGAGGAAACGCCACCAACAATTATTCAGTCCATGGTATTTTTATGACCAAAAACTTTCTGTATCCATTTTTAAAGCCATTTTGTAAACCGTTTGTTGTTTAATACATTGTTGTCTGTACATATATATTCGGTTCTTATTTTATTTCCTCGAGTTCATGTTTTCGGTGGGCCATTTGAGGACGATCCAGCATCGGCCCGCAAGACTGCCATAAAGAAAAAAGACTAATCCTGATTTTTTATTGAAACGGGGGAATAAGTTAATTAGCATTCATTAAACTTTTTTCCAATTTGTTAGAATCAAAAAGATTGATTTTTTTCATTTAAAATGATAATATTACAATGTCAAAATGATTCCTGTCTTCTGGAACATATCTGTATTTTGTTTCTATTTACAGACGTCAAGAACCTTTGGAAGCACGTCGAATAACCGAAGTTAAGCAACGGCCTGATCCAGTACATAATACGACTAAGAATAGCAGACGCTGAGTTTTGCGGATGGCGCAATGGTCGTTGAATTGAAAAAGTTCTTCAAATTCGGGTTGGTTTTAGTAATTTGTTCAAATCCTGTTTTCAGCTTTTATGTCCAGGTTAATTAGTAGGACTTATACTAATAAATTATTATTATGTTCAAAGGATTCTTACATTCGAAAAATATTTTTTGACTTTAAATAAGCTACAAAAGGCTGATAAGCCGTAAAAAACAAAAAAAACAAATCCTCGGTATGTCTTCTGAGTGTCAAATTTTCCAAGCCCTCTTTCCTCATTATGTACCCAAGATATTTCAATTATCTCTTTCTGGTGCTAAGTATAAGTATCATTTTCGTTTTCATTTTCTCTAAAACTTTGTCGTTGCTCACTTATTCAGTCCATGGTATTCTCAGCATCCTTCTGTAAAACCGATTTCATGGAACTCCATCGGTAAAAGACGATCGCATTCACCATAAAGAAAGACTTTTATCCAATACTCTTTTCCTAGTTTTTATTTTCCTGTTTTACTTTCACTTTATTTATCCCACAACGACTTATGATTTCGGTGTCGTTGAATTTAAATTCTTCAAACAATTTCCAGTGACTTGTTCATCCTGTTTTCAGCTATGTCCAGGTCATGACGACTTTACTCAGCCATAAATGCTGGTCTAGCGCAGTAATCAACAAACATACGCTTATCTCGTGGTAAGAGAAGAATTCTTCTTTTATATGCGGTATCTCTTCAGGACAACCGATCATGGAACTCCCCAAAAAAATTCGTTTCCATAGTATCCTACACGTTTATGGTTTCAATCATATTTACACAATAACCTGTTAAGTTGTCAAATTCTCCAGGCCCTCTCTCCTCATTATGTATCCGAGAAATTTAAACAAGCTCATTAATTTACTCGCTGTTTCTCTCTGCCCCTCTCGCCTTAAATGTCCTGTGAGTGTCAAATTCTCCAAGCTCCTTTCCTCATTATGTATCCGAGAAATTTACACAAGTCCGTTAAGTAAGTTACTCGCTATTTTCTCCTTCTCCTCTTGTCTTGTGAGTGAGTATCAATTTCTCCAAACCCTTCTTCTCATTTTGTATTCTAGGAATTCCAACATTCTTTTTCTGATTCTAAATATATGTGTCCTTTTTTTTCTTCTCGTTTTCCTTACAACATCTTCGTTGTTCACATCTTACGTCCAAGGTATTCTCAATATCCTTCTGTAGAACCACATTTTTGTTGCCTCAAGTCTTAAAATCAATTCCGTTATATTTCACTCACCATTATTTTGTTTACTATAAAACACTGAAAATAAATGTTAAACCTGATTTCAGTTCTTTTATTTTAATCTAAATATAACCCCTCATATCCGGACTTTGTAACCAATTCCTCATATCCGGAAGGCATTCTTAGTCCGGATGTCAGGGATTCTACTGTATTAAAATCCACAGAAATCCTTAAATTAAGAGGTCGGCTCGTAAATAAAAATAAAAATAAAAATACAAAAACAAACAAAAAAAAAACGGAAAATCTTTACGGGGGGGGGAGGAATAATTTTTGTTAATTAGCATTCGTTAAACTTTTCTATACCGACATTTGTTAGAATCAAAAAAGATTTTTTTTTCTCATTTAAAATTGGGGATTCCTGGTTATAACATAAATCCAGTGTCAAACTGATCCCTGTCTTCTGGAACAGCTATCTGTATTTTGTTTCAAGAACCTTACGACCATATCACGTTGAAACACCGGTTCTCTTACGATCACCGATCATCCTAAATATGTGTCCTTTTTTTCTTCTCGTTTTCCTTAGAACATCTCCGTTGTTCACATCTTACGTCCAAGGTATTCTCAGCATCCTTCTGTAGAACAACATTTCTGTTGCCTCAAGTCTTATTTCACCTATAAGAAAATTTTCTGGCGTTCGCTGAATTTTCCGAGTTTGTTTTTTTTTGTTTTGTTTTGTTTTGTTTTTTATGCGCAGCATGATTCAGTTCAAAGTCTGTCTTACAATTGTGCACTGCTTTTCTCCATAATCAAGGATCTATAGCAATGGTTTTGGGGCATGAAGACGAAAATAAACACCAGGAGTCAACGAGCATGATTTCTGACCCGTAGGAAAATTATAATAGGATATATATATATATATATATATATATATATATATATATATATAAGTATAGAATAGGTGTATACGGAATAAATTCAACACCATCACTTGATAAGACACCAGAAATGCTGAAACAAAATGGCAATTTTTATAGTGATTTTATAACATATTTATGTTATAATTTTCGAGTAAATAATTATATATATATATTTATTAAAGACATTTTTATTTAACGTTGTTATTTTATAGATACAAGTATTTAAGCAAATGCTCTGTTTATGATAAACAGTATTAAATAACATTTACCGGCCTGAATGTCCGAGAAATTTTCATAGAAAATATTCGTTCATAGACAGGATTCGAACCTGCATCCTATACGGAACCGTCATATACGCTGACGTGCCTTAACCACTCGGCCACCATGAACCTTATGGTAGACAAGGTCGAATTTACTGTTATAAACTTCAATTTTCCATGAATCTCGTACATTCATAACTGCTCTGGCGTATCGAATGTAAACAAATGACGTCATATTCATGGAAAATTTCTTAACATATATATATATATATATAAGGCTCAAACACTAATATTCCATGGTTATAATTTATTACATTGGAATCGTAATCACGATCCAATTCATCAGTCCTACAAATTAAAAAAAAAATATTGAGCTCTACTTGGATTTTATCCTCTTGGAAATTTATATATATATATATATATATATATATATATATATATATATATATATATGAGGGGGGTAATATTTCCATAAAATCTATCATTTATCTAAGTAATATTATATTTGGTACCCCGATTCCAATGTTTTTTGTATTTGTTCGGTCCACTCGTCAGGAGTTATCATATGACGTTCATTCCAGGAGTTTTCGAATCTTTTCAGGAGAGAGACACAGATATTAGTTTAAAAACGTGCAGAACTCTAATCTTCTGACTGCAATGCACCTGCCGCAGCGCTCAGGTCACTTCGTGAATCCCCCATGGAAGTGTCATTCCCAAATAAATGTGTCCAGGACTCTAGTTTCAGCCTCCTTCATCTTTTCAATGGCTTCAAAACGACTACCCCTGAGGTTCTCCTTCCACTTGGAGACCAACCGAAAGTCACGGGGAGCAAGGTCCGAACTGTAGGAAAGGTGTTTTGATACCCATCAACCATCTCCCTTCTGACACCCATCAGCCATCTCCCTTCTGCCACCGATCAACCATCTCCCTTCTGACACCCAGCAACCATCTCCCTTCTCCCACCGATCAACCATCTCCCTTCTGCCACCCATCAACCATCTCCCTTCTGCCACCCATCAACCATCTCCCTTCTGCCACCCAGCAACCATCTCCCTTCTGCCACCGATCAACCATCTCCCTTCTGACACCCAGCAACCATCTCCCTTCTCCCACCGATCAACCATCTCCCTTCTCCCACCGATCAACCATCTCCCTTCTGCCACCCATCAACCATCTCCCTTCTGACACCCAGCAACCATCATCTCCTTCTGACACCCAGCAACCATCTCCTTCTGACACCCAGCAACCATCTCCCTTCTCCCACCGATCAACCATCTCCCTTCTGCCACCCATCAACCATCTCCCTTCTCCCACCGATCAACCATCTCCCTTCTCCCACCCATCAACCATCTCCCTTCTGACACCCATCAACCATCTCCCTTCTCCCACCGATCAACCATCTCCCTTCTGACACCCAGCAACCATCTCCCTTCTGACACCCATCAACCATCTCCCTTCTGACACCCAGCAACCATCTCCCTTCTGACACCCATCAACCATCTCCCTTCTGACACCCAGCAACCATCTCCCTTCTGACACCTATGCGTCTTTCCTCACTGAGTACCCTGGGTAGAAACTTTGCACAAATTTTGCGCATGTTCAGATCTTCATGAATAAATCTGTGTACATTTGGCACAACAACTCCAAACTGTATGCTTACTGTCTTTAGAGACATATGACTATCTCCATCCAGAAAATTGCAACATCATTATTATTTAAACTATCTCTGTCCCATAATAGTTGAAATTAAATATATATCAAAATGTAACTTTATTATGGGACAAAGGAAATAATTACTGCTTGTGTCCCATAAGACTTGCTACATTTAATAAATGGAATATATGCACAAATGCAACCCTTATTATGGGACACGAGTAGTAACTGCTTGTGTCCCATAAGACTTGTTACATTTAATAAATTAAATAAATGCACAAATGTAACCATTATTATAGGACAAAAAAGCTTATGCCCCATAATAATATAATATAATACATTATAATATATAATATTATATTACATAATATAATATAATATATGATATGATATAATAATATATAATATACAAATAATATATAATAAAATGATATATATAATAATATAACATCCCTTTCCCTCTCACATCTCTCATCACCTCTCACCTTTTTTCCATCGTCTTTGAGCTTCTTGTGCCAGCAAGAAACAGATGCTTGGCTCATACAAGTTAACTTATTCGTGGTCTGCAACATTTCATAAGGTTAGGTAGTGTTTTGCTCATTTTAACACAAAACTTGATTGCATTGTGAGCTTCCAAAATGTCTGCGTTTCCTAGCTCCGTTCTTATCCGCTTTTGACAAGCTGTGTTTAGTAAGGTGTGTTCAAGGAACACTTCAATCTGGAATAACAAAAGATGACAGGACAGATTATTAGATGTATAGTAATGATATACTAAGATTACAATAATCTAGGACAGTTATAATTGCTTCTCCTAAAAAAGATTAAAAACTTCTGGAATGCATCTCGTGTATATATATATATATATATATATATATATATATATATATATATATATATATATATATATGTGTGTGTGTGTGTGTGTGTGTGTGTGTGTGTATATGCACATTTCATTGAATACGACAGACAAGGTGATTTCATTTAGATTTTTTTTATACAATTTCTCATGCGATCTAATAATTATTTTTTCTTTTCAGATGATAAATTATATAAAAACTGTCCCAATGTTCTTTTAATCCGAGCGTTTTCGGCTATACATTTAGCCATTTTCAAGGATGAAATGCGCATGAAAGAAGGATTGCTGCCTAAATACACAAATATTATATATATATATATATATATATATATGTGTGTGTGTGTGTGTGTGTGTGTATGCGTGTGTGTTTGTGTGTATATGCGTGTGTGTTTGTGTGTGTATGTGTGTGTTTTGTGTGTGTGTGTATATGTGTGTGTGTATGTGTGTGTGTGTTTGTGTGTGTATATATGTGTGTGTGTGTGTGTATTAGAATTAAATTACAAGGATCATCAAATCCATTTGGTAAATTTTTATTTTATTTAGTTTTATTTTGATTTTCTTGTCAATTTGATGGATTTGAAAATCCTTGTAATTTAATTCTAATTTTAATTTACAAGGTGAAATGATCATCATCTATATTATGGAGTTATCCTAATTCCTGTTGTTTGTAATTTATATGCTCTGTTTGAATAAAACATTAAGCTCTCGCTGTGAATCAGTTTTAATATTTTAATTTATATTATATTTATAGGATTCACTTGGGTTATATATTAACTGGATTTTCTGTATATATATATATATATATATATATATATATATATATATATATATATATATATATATATATGTCGGATGTAACAACATAATTGTCCAAATTGTGTAACAGCAAAATTTTCCAATTGTTAAATTAAGCTCTGAACTGCTGTATCTGAGAAATGATTAATGATATCTTTCTGGAATCCAAGGCTATAGAACCCGGTTTGTCCTGTTATTTAGGAGAGAAGATTCATACCTTTCCCAGGGGTATTAGCATGTAAGTGAATGTAATGTATTCAACTGGAATTCGAACTCGGCTCACCGATTCCTCAATCCGAGCCGCTATCCATTACTTCACCGTGCCTCCTATTAAATTCATTAATTCTAATTGCTGCAGATATTCTACACTTGCTTCAAAATTCATAGAATTCCCTTGTAGCCGTTCTTAGATCTTATATTTGTAACTTCATACATGCCTTCAATTAACCTTAGAAGGATTAATTCGTCTTCTATAGACATTTCTTTCGAACCCAGTTTTCAAATTCGCAATATCTTGATGCTTCTTTCAATCTCTGTAAGTATCACATTACGGTTTCACTTGGGTTATATTTTCCAGAAATTTTGTCCTTTCTCTAACAACCAACTTTTTTGGTTGCATTTTTCTGTTCATAATAGTTGAAATTTCCTCATAAGTTCAGTGTTCCAGTATTTTGGGGTACACTATAATGGACATTTTCTTTATGGCTTCACATCCTGCCGAAACCAAAAATAAATTAGTAATTTCATTCTCCCTCACCACAGGCTTTCTTGTCTTTCAGTTTCTTTACCCTATCCAACGCAGCGAAACGTCTAATCCAAGTTTCTACGTGTTCCAGTCCAACCAATGCCGTTAGAGATCCTATTGGCGACGCCATATTGTTATGAAGCATGAGTACTCTCTGGAATAGACGTTGTCAGGTTAAGAGATGGAAGATTTACTGTTCCGTTAAAAACAATTGTGATACAAGATCGAAGGGTGAAGGGGGTAATGCTGGTCAACATTAACTATCCTAAACATAGCTAATCCAATTCACGACCCATTCACTCATAACAATTTACTTATTCACCACAAGAACTCATCCAACACCATTCAATCCTACATATACCACAATACCATATATTCACAGGAAACCTACAAAAAACTCCTAAAATAAAAATTTCAACACTTCAAAAATGTCTCTTTTTTTCTTTTTCTTTTTTCCTCATAAAAATATTTAAAAATATAATGATCATGAAATGATGGGGGGAGGGGATGAACCCCAAAAACAAAACTAAAAATAGCAAAACATTCAAACTAAACATAACATATGTTAGTAGAACCCGTCCATCCCACAAAAATAAGAGAGGCCGCTGTATACTGTCTTTAAACGGAATCAAGCAGCTGACTCACTAACGGAGAGGGAAGGATAAAAATTAAATGAGGGAGTGGGGAAATCAAAGACTGACCCAGTCGTGATGAAAAAACGAAAAGGGAGAAAAAGAAACTGGGGTGGGGAGTAATCTCGACGTGGATCATAACAAAAGATAATACCGGGAGCAGGCCGGGAACAACACTTACTCAAAGAAAGTCTATCTTAACCAGAGGAGGGTTCACAGAAAATTCGCCCTGTTGTGTGAAAGGGAACTTTAAAAAGAAAATCAAGGTTGGCCCCGCTCACACGAACCAAGCTCGCTATATTTACCCACCTTTCGCTGAAACCTGTCCATAACAAACGCTTCCTATCAGTTCGGATCTTCATTTTGAGCTGTTATCCAAAGAATCCGACCCGATCATGATTAGAATAACATTCGTATCGCAAGATTCCCTCCATCTGCGACATCCACAACACCGTTCTTGTACGGCTAGCTACGTGAGAAACTCCATTCTTCACCCAAAAAAACGAGGGTGACACATTATCGCTTATGCGAGATCGATGGACGCGAGATGTTCCGGATCGATACGAGGCGTCAACTCACCGACATAGAACGGACGCACCCGAAGACAATGGAAGAAAGAATGCAAAGCCGTTTCCCCTAAACCAAGGTCACACCGGTAACAGTTGGTCAAATCCGCCCAGCCACATCTGAAGGTTACATAATTGAGAGATAGCACGTTCCCAATCAATCACCAAATAAGAGAAAACTTATTTCGCGCCCCCTTCCCCACTAATTCACGGTACAATAGTCTCCGTATTTTTATATCTACTGGGAAACATTACATACCAATTATTTGCGAATCTTGACTCAGGAGTTCAAGAAGGGTTCAAAATTGTTCAGGAACACAGGGCTTAAAAGGGTTAAGCAAAAACATTTGACAAGATAGAGCACAAGAATCAATTTGCAAAGCTAAGGGAACTAGATCTGTTTGGAAAAGCTGTAAGAATAATCGAATATGCCTGTTAGGGATAGAGAATAAATTGAGAATCTATACAAAATTAGAAAGTGTTGTGAGACAAGGATGTGTCTTCTCGCCAGATGTTTTCAACCTCTAAAGCGACAATATCGTAAGGAAACTACAGACCCTGCCAGGATTTATTATCGGTGGACATAATCTTAACAATATAAGATACGCAGATGCCATTGTGTTGATGGCTGACTCAGGAAGGACACTACAGGACTTACTAGACAGGCTGATAGAAGAAAGCGAGATAAAAGGACTAATCAGGAGGAAAAGCTCAAGATGTGAGTTATGAATTGGATGTGTAAACATTAAGCAGACGTAGAAGTTTAAATATCTGGGAAGCTTTTTAATGGAAAAATGTGACACCGAGATCCGAACACACATTGGACTAGCGAAAGACGCCTTCCAAAAGCTAAGCTGAGAAACGGGAAATTTTCGTTAGAAACAAAGAAAAGAATGATGGATTGCTACGTGATATCCATCCTCTTATATGGCAGTGGATGCTGGACAATCTCCCCAGAGATAAGGAAAAAAAACTAGAAACAGCAGAAATGAGGTTCTACAGAAGGATACTGAGAATTCCATTGACAGAGCGAGTACGCAACAAGGATGTCTTAAAAATAATGGCACTAGAAAGAACACATACTACAAATTGAGAAAAGACTACTGAAATTTATATGACACATAATGAGAAAGGAGAGCTTAGAAAACTTAACACTCACGGGGC